ATCCGAGCTTTTTTTTTTTTTTTTTTTTTTTTTTTTTGCACATTTACAACCAGAAACTGCTTTAGAACATTGATTATGAAAATGAACTAATCTGCTAAAAAGTTACTAGTAAGAATTCTGGAAAAATGTCCATTCCACGCCATAATGGATATCCTCTAATAAAATGCCTGCATTTTAACCAATCAGAATGCATTACTTTTAGCAGTTATAGTTGAATTAGTATAATTAGTATTAATCAATTATATACCGCAGTGTATTTCATCACTGCCGTCGTCACATTCTTCCTCTCCATCACAAAGCCAGATGGTTGGAATACACCTTGGCCTGTCCTTGCATTGAAACTTGTCTGGAGGGCATGTTATTGGTKCTTCAAATATGCAAAACAAATGTACATGTATGTTTTAAAGTAATACTTGACGTGTACAACAGAGAAAGGAACAGAAATGAATATTCATGTCAGCAAATCAATTTATAAGATCTACATTGTATAACAAAATGAAAAAAAGAGTGACTGCATGTAAATATTAATTAAACTGGGTGTCACAAATAAACAATTTGTGCTGATAAGACGGCAGGCATTTTCACATACTACATGCGCTAACATGAAAACAAGATATTTTCAGGCAAAAATAAAAGCAAGCTTATATGGAAAACTGCCAAAAAATACAAGAGAGACTGCTATATTCTTGAAAGCACATGAATATGTAATCTAGGAAAAATTGTATTATGTTTTCAAACWTAACTTACCACATCCCTTCTCGTCAAATCCATCTGGTTTGCAGTCTTTCTCGCCATCACATTTCCAACTCAAGGGAGCACACTTGCCATTGCATACAAATTCATTTGGGGAACAAGTTGTTTGATTTGCTAAGTAAAATATAAAATAATGTGAATAAGTCCTACAGTTTTTTCATATTTGTCCCTCTTTATAGCATAAATTTTCAATAAAATGATAATACTTTTTAGTGAATCTAACACAATTATAATTATGTCCCTAACAATGGTATTAACAACACAAATAATATTGAATATTCAATTATCTTTAGAACTCTTTTCATATGATTTATACTAACAGCATGACAGAATATGAATAATTAATTAAGACAAAAACAATAAATAATAAAAATGAAAATGCCAAAATTCAAGAATATTTCAGATCTGTTTAATCTTAATTACACCTATAGGTTGATATAGATCTATACAAGTGAAACAAATGTGTTTGGAAGTCAATGTGCATTTGTATGAAACTGGAGAGCAAGCTATATTCTTAAGTATTACAGACAGAGCTTTATTATGTAATACATGACTTTGATCCCCAGGGAAATGAAGAACACAAAAGAAACAAAGGAAATAAACTTCTGGCACTATTAAAAGTGCATTGATTATATCCATGAACACTTGAAAGAAGTTGTACAAAATTGCACTTGTTAAACAATAGAATAAAAATGTTTTGTACCACATTTTCACAAAAGTCAACTCTCATTATAACAGCTGACACCAAAGTGCAATCAATAAGAGTCCTMAAATTCTCAGTGAGTTYTTTAAWTKAGATATCTTAAATGCTCATCATTGKGCTGTGTCTGTGATAATGTTGTGTCAATAATGCAGGAGTTGATRGTAATTATATGTCGAATGTGAATACACCATCGTAGATGAGTTCTCTTTGTTATGCAATGTGGTGGCTACAGGTACAATTGTCATAGTAATTGTTAGACAGCTAATTTTTTCAATTATCAAATACCTAGTACATATGAGCAATCTTTCTCGTCTGATCCATCAGAACAGTCTTTTTCTCCATCACATTTCCAAGGTAATGGAAARCACTGGTTATCGCAGTGAAAGTGGTCACTATCACATTTGCCTGAACAATAACAATAATGTTATTTATTGATAACAGAGCCCCACAGAAGTATATTTTGTTTATTAGTCTATAAATAATACCAAATGAAAACAGCTATAACAATTAAGAATAAGTGAAGGTTTAAATATTTTATTTAAAATATATATATTATCTTATCTTCCCTTACCCCCCGSGTAAATTGTCTTCGACAAAAATAAATTTTTTAATTGATTTCATWTGGTGTTCAAAACAACCGGATTTTTTTTCCAATCCTGTTATGACTAGAGTCTTAAACTGACTATTTTGGGAAAGAGAAACATCTGYCCCAGAGTAGATAATATTCGACTCGCTATTAACGTAACTAAAAATAGAGRCTGACTTATAAAAAMGATCTCGTTCATAAAAATTATTTTCGAATTGATTTTAAAACCCGCGCCATATTCAAAGGGTATAAATCAAAATTCTTCATAAATTCAATCGATCTACAATAAATATATGAATATGAGATTTATATCTGCGTTTCAGCCGTATTTGRTTTGAGCAGACTTCAATATTTTGTGTTAAAAGTGAAGTAAACAAGCTGCAACCACGTGCATAAGAAACTTTGAATGCTGACCTAATACTGTAGTATTCCCATTTGTAMTAAAAAACATAAGCTTATTGACTAAACGAARATAAAAAATCAAATGCAGCACTGATTKTTCATCATTTTTCATWAAAGAACACAGCGTAGAATAAAACTAATAGTTGCTGTATCAAAAGCTGGACGTCTTGTGACGTGTGGAGCAAATTTGTAAACACAGAAGATTGAATGCATTTTCCTACTACGATGTCTAAATTAGTTAATCATCAAACCATTGAAAGCCRTTCCGGCTAACATACAAAAACTGGTATTTCCAAGTGATAAATCCAATCTAGTTTACCTTCAAATTCTCCCGGAAATACTGGTGGGAATCCTTGAGCTTTACAACTATTCGTGAGCAATGTGAAGACCCAAAATGTACATAGGAAAGCGGTGCAGAGTATGCGGATTTTTCTTCCAAAGTAATACGCTATGCCATCGGTTTTTAGTGTATTATATAAAAGCATTACTTTTCAGTCGAAACGAGGTCATTAGAAAGCCCAACTCTTCASTTTTTCTTGAGGAGACGTTTTCCTTGTTGAATGGATTTTATGCTAATTTGTCATTGTKTCCCTAGAGCGCTGTCTCAGTCCCAAAACGCGCGCGGTTCAAACAAATGACAGCAAATTTGGCGCCATTTTGACAAACAAGGAATACCATACCTTTGAAAACCGGAAAGTTTTGTGTRTAGGAGTTATTATTTAGTCTCAATTGGTWCTTCAATGACTAAAATTTAGACAAGATAGATGTTAGCTCATGTTATTTTGATTGACAGGCTTTCCTTTAGTAAAATGGTASCTCACTAAGTAGTCACACGTCTCGACCCCCCAAAGATTTCCCCGGGGGGCGCATCTAGCATCAAGAGGTTTGGGGCTGGGGGAGGGGGCTGGGGTCGTAGCATTCAAAATTCAAAACTTATAYATTATTTAATGTGAACTTTTAAGTCTAGACGAATCCTCACCTCGCACGAATTCAACGTCTTTACATTTGTTAATATGACAATTTGTTTTTCGTACATTTAAACGGATAGTCACTGGCACTCTATGACCCCTCTCCCCCAAATCAAATACGCCCTTTTTTCCCCCAATAAAAATATCCGCATATAAGACTGAATAATGGCTCGTTTTGTAGAAGACAAAACAACTCTTGAAATTTGACCTTCAGCGTTCCGGTTCTTATCGCCACTTACTATCCAAAGAAAACAAATTACAATGATTTCAAATACCAGATTATGGTACGTGTACTGCAACATTTGCTTTATACTTAGTGAAAACAGTGATTTTTTATCCAATTTCCTTTTTCTCCCTTCAGTTTTTTCTACCCGTCGTGCTCCGCGCGCGCCAGTATTATGGTTTAGAACTCAAAGAGAACGGAAGACATGTGCTAAATAGGTCTACTGCAGTTTATTTTTCAGGTCAAATAAGCAAACAGAAAGTATATAAAATATTCAATAACAATACAGTAATCATAAAAAAATCAATAAATYATTTCAGGCGTGCAATGAACTAATGGAATGGAAGAATTCTGAGCCGTGATTTCAAAAACAAAAACAAATTTAGCTACTCTGCTAAAAAATGGTGATACATAYACCGAAAACTCTGTAAAAAGAGAAGCGTGCGATTTCATGCTTTTATACTGACACATACATTGAAAGCTTTAGCAATCCGTGGCCTTGACAGTTAAGGAGCAGTAAAATCGACTGCCGAGCTCCGGTTTTGATCGAAAACCATGCATTCCTGTGAAGGTTATTTTCCTGGAAAAAATAATRCGGCATTGTGGCGCGTGTATATATGTCAATGTGGACCCGTATGACCCGCACCCTAGCTATGTAAAGCGTGACATGAGCCAGTTGTTGGGTGCGGTCAACAAGCGTTTTTCAGTAAATAATCTCGGTAATAAAAGTAAACTTCCATCCTTGCCGTGTTCATCTCAGATACTCAAAATCGTAGTGAATTCAATCCAGTTTTTCCTCAACTTCTACKGTAAAAGGACTTCCTTGCACGGAGTGACCATCCCAAAATACTTCCATTGTGTAAACACCGATGTCGGCTGGGCAAAACGACACCTCGTGAATGTTTTCTGTCTTGCAACAAAAACCCACTTCGATTTCTCTCTTGTGTTGGTCTGTAACGCGTATTTGAAGCGAAATCAAGTCAGGTGTTGGGGTTCGCATTAAGAAATTAGCCTTTTCACCGAGAAATATTTTGCTGTCGCCTTCCGCCCAAACCTCACAGTCGGTGATAACATTGCTCGTTGCGTCGCATTTGTTCAGCTTTATAAGYACAACTTTTCTGTGGAGCTCTGAACGTAGAATATCCATGGATCAMTGAGAGTAAGTTAACGTCTMCGAAGCGCGACTTCACTGAACTGAATTTTTAAGGCTATAGTTTGAGAGTCAATATTGACTGAGATTGCACCTGAGATGAATTTATGATGATTTTTATGTCAAACAGATCAACTATACTTAACAACAGACTGTGAGACTGTGATACTGATCATCTGTGGTTGTATCATCTGATTTCACTATATATTGACGCACAATACGTGCACAGAGTTGAAGAGGCTTGGGAAATGGATGGCGGAAATACGCAACATTTTTTTTTTGAGATAGCTGAGTTCTGTCATTGATGGAATCGTTATTATGAATTCAAACTCGGACAGGTATTCGAATTTCTCATTGCTCAGTCTTATATCCATTTAGGGGTTTGCTATTTGTCTCGTTTTTGGGAAATGAGTGGCGATTGGATACCTAACTGTATTTTGTTTGTTTGTCTGTCAGCGTTTTTGACTATATTTCTCTAATTATTTTTATATTGTCATTTTTCTATATACATAGCTGATCACTGAATAAAATATACTTACTAAAATACATATTAAGATCATGCAGTACAAAAGTGCCTTTGATTCCATAAGATGCTAGTCGGCCACCCATCGAGCTTTCGTCGGAAAATGTTCGTGATATTTGAGCCCATACAAAATTTCAGTCAGCAGCCATACTCATTAGTTCTCAAGCAGGAATTTTTAGCGGCATTTTGTAACAACCCACCTCTTTGAAAAGAGGGAAATACAATCATTTTAAAGCAGTTTGTTTGCTTATAATTTTTAAACAACCTAATTACGATGCCAAGAGATAAAGTGAGTAGTGATATCTTGTTTTAATGTAATTTTATCACACGAAGTCTGTAGTTTGTGATGACGGCACTATAGCGCCATGTGACCAAATCACATCGTCACTTTCAAAGGTTAGACTCATTTGAGTCCTTTCTTTTTCATGATTCTACAGCTAAGAAATTTCCACAACCAATTCAGTGAAGAGGTATGTATGGTCTTAAAGCTAGTGTTTTCATTTTGACGTATCTAAAAATCATATCAATTGGTAATGCGACTCGTTTGTCTGTAAGACTCTTTGTTCCYTTCTAGGCCGAAGACATTGTGACGAAGTTTTTCCCTGAGAAGGTTTCTGAACTTGATAACCTTTTGAAGGTATTTCAGACTTAAAAATTGTCGTATTTTATGAATTAAAACGTTTCCACTCTTTGACATGCGCTGACGTAATACAGGTTAATTAAACTCCATGATAGCATTTGATGACCTATTAATTAGGCTAATGAATCACCTCATGGATCCCATTCTTYACATGTAAAGATATAATCATATCTAAATGAGCAGTAGTGTTCAACAACTAAATGAAATTTMAACAGTGATATGTTTCTTTCATGAAAGTTAACTTCCACATCTTTTCTGCATAATATTCTTTGTTTCCAGTTATGTCACAGCGGCCATCTTGGAGGAATTCTTACAAAGGATTTCTCATTACAGTCAACTCTTGYTATTAAGGATACCCTCGGGACCATAATTTAGTGTCTGCAATAGCGAAAAACGATAGTAACTTTCAGTCCATTCATTGTATTTTTCGCAAGGGATTTAGTGTTTTACTGTCTGCAATATCGAGGTGTCCATATGGCGAGAGTTGACTKTAGTATCCATTGTTCATTCCTCCAGTATGGCTGACAGTCTTTTATCTTTTGAATCTCATGGGAATGAGTGAAAACGATCAATTCTGTATCTAACCGAGCTATCTGCTAGTCTGCAACCTCGTCCCCAGGGCCATCTCAGCTGACTCCTTTTCAAGATCACGTGATCAAAACCTCCAAGATTTTTGGAGGTTTTGATCACGTGCCTATCTATTCAAAATGGCACTGGTAATGTAAACTCAACGGTTTCTCAAATTGGGATCGCTGTGGTGGGTCAGTATTTGCTTTGTTTTGATAATTTATTTGAAAATCTCCCCGGTCCTGCTGCCATCGGCAGTGTTTAATACCCCTAGACCGCCCACTTGAGTAGATCCAGTTAATTCTAGAATTCTGGAGGGATCTGCACACTGGACCGATTTTAAAGAAGAACAGTGGCAGCAGAAATCAGCGASTAGAAGACTTCTAAAACATCAAATCGCTAAATATATCCGTCAAGTTAAATTTCTTAAACGAGTCGCTGACATCTCAAAACCACACATTGGACAAGAGAGACATAAGAGGAGAACTGACAAGAATTCCAAAGAATATTGTTGCTTTTTAATGGACAAAACGTACCTTAAACTTCGTGAATATTTGAATAAAAACAATGAACAGCATCTCAACGATAAGTCAATAACCAATCAAAGACCTAACGGTTATCYGGACATACCGACACTGTCAAACACATCCTAACATATAGACGAACATAAACAGCCAATAATGAGTGATATAACAAAAGGCATGTTGAATAGCCAATCAGAAAGCGGCTTAGTTCAGCGAACGCCAGGGTCATCTCCCTGACGACCGCCATCTTGAAAAGGAGTCGGCCGAGATGCCYCTGGGGACGAGGTTGCTCGTCTGCTATTTACATAGCATAATCTAACCAATWATAATATTTATTAATAAGTGAAAGAAGTTTCTTGCAAGCAATAATTGTTTTGTTGTTCTTGTTTTGGTTGCATTATTACTGCCATTTTTCTCTAATGTTTTTGTTGATTAAGTGTATACAATGTACATGTATATAGCCACCTTCTGGTCAAATTATAACACACACGAAATATTGCCAGTTTTAAAAGATTTTCTGTAGATTATGTTAAAGATCATTCTGTCAGTTGCATGTATTTAGTTATATATAGCAAAAAAAAAAGAAAGAAATATAGCAAAAAAAGAAGAAAGAAAGAAATTGTACAGCCATATAATTGCACCAAACTAATAATTCCTCAATGATTAAATCTAAACTTGTGATACTTTGCATTTCAGTCAGGACAGTTCAATATAACCCAGATACCAAAAGTTCATAGCAAGTCTATTATTCCTGTTTCATTCCCAGTAGTAAATGACGGAGAAAAAAATGATGTTGAAAAGGTAAGAATTTGTACAACATTTTTGCAAAATTGAAGGGCTGGGCTGAAAAATGGTTGGACACTATATCCAGCAAAGGTCATGCTTTACCTTTCATACAGTACCATCTTTTAAAAGCGTCTTTTTATCTCACTTGTGTGAATTCTTGCACACTGATTGGTTGATTAGAGCGTGTCAATAAGAGGATATACATGCTGACACCATCATGTCTCCTGTGGGTGCTCATTTGAACTATACTTTGTTGTTGTTGTCTTTTGATAATGTTTTGAGACTTAAAATGCAATAAAAAATAAATTGCACACTTTTTTTAAATTGTATGCTGTCTTTTTGACACACTCTTGACTTCATAAAATGTTCAAAACTTTTGCAGTGAATTCACTTGCTGCAATCACTTCAGTGTTTGATAAACAATTTGTCAATAAAAGGTCATATGCCTCAATACCTCTTTAAGTTGACACAAAAAATCAAGCTAAAATTTTGGTTAAGCATTGTCTCAGTGTTTGTGCTACTCCTTAAAGTCCTTGGAAAGTCCTAGAATGAAAGCCCTTGAAAATTGGGAAAATCGCTGATACTCCTGGAAAACTCCTTGAATCTGATAAAATTGACATGTTGATTGATAGCTTTTGGATTGAAATGTGGCTATTTTAAAAAATCGCCACTTGAAACGTCCGCAAACATCTAAAAATATCTTTAAGAATACTCCTTGAAAATCACATTTTTATGCTTAAAAAGTACTTGAAAAGTCCTGGAATTTTGTAGTGAAAATGTTGCACGAACCCTGTGTCTGTTGATGGCTCTTAAAACAAAAATAGTAAAAAAATGTATTACTGATTATGTTTCATTATATGTTGTTTGCAATCTGTTGTTTCAGCCATCTAAAAAGAGAAAGCTCAGTAATGCTGGTGCTCAATTGGAACAAATGGCAGAATTGGGTAAGAATTGTGATAAAAATAGGAGAGTGAGGAAATGAAAAGAGGCATTGTACAGTACAATGTACATTGTAAACAAACCATACTGTACCAGGGCTCGAAATAATGGCCAGACATATGCAGGACAAAATGTCCTTCCAAATTCATTTTTGGAAGGTCATGTCAAGTTTTGAAAGGACAAAAACTTTATTATACTATTATTTCTTTTAATTTAAGGTTTTTGTATCCAAAAAGATCGGCAAGCATTTTAATGGCTTGTAAAAGATTTGTTTAGCGAACTGAGAATTGATTTATCTAAAAATGTGGCAGGTCAATTTGTCCTTTCAAAACCCAATTTGGCCGGTCATCTAGCAAATTTGGAAGGACAACATTGTCCTTTGACCGGCCATTATTTCGAGCCCTGCTGTAGCATCTAAAACATTATGATTCATGCAAGTAATTTTAGTTCTTTACTAAAGTGCTGTTATTGACATTTGTCCCATGTACCTGTAGTAGCCCTTTTGTTCTCTGCTATATTGTTACATGTACTGTATGTATTTCTTACCAAAAATCTGACAATGTTTRAATTGTTTTAGTTGCTGTTGATGTGGTTCCCTGTAACAAGGTTAGTAGCAATWTAGTGCATTGTATTTGGATTGCAATATTAAATTGATGCCATGCCAGCYCAACTCTGAAGAAATAGGCTTTAAATTAATAGTTGGGCTGCCTGTGAATAWAGGAAGTTAGYATAAACATAYTAATGGTCTATCACTCATACTGCGCTGTGATTGGCTACTCTWCTAATGSTCTAATTTGTGRTAGACCACTCGCGGGAAAATCAATTCATTGATAAATTATTTTAAGGATATTTCAATTTGTTTTCATTATTTGACTGATTAGTATGTTTATACTAAAA